GACAGCATCACGAGATGGAATCTCCTCCCCCACACACAGGAAACACGTCACTTAATCTGCTTAAAAGACCCTCCTCTCCTCCACTCCCTCAGTCATCACGAGAACCGAAGGCAAGCTGGAAAAAGACAAGGCACAAACAGGCAATACCACTACATCACATTAACACTACAAGCATCAATGGGCGGGCAGTTGCTGTCCTGGAAGACTAATGGAAATAGAGTTACCGGTAAGTCCTAACTCTGAATTTCCCATAACGTCTTCCAGGACAGCATCACGAGAGGATAACCAAGAACTTACCAATTAGGGCGGGACCACAGCTTGTAGTACCTTCCTGCCAAATGCCTGATCCCCTGCGGTATTGAGATCTAGGCGATAATGCTTTGCAAAGGTGGAGAAACTTGACCATGTTGCCAGTTTCATTACTTACTTTTTTCTTTGAATTAAATAAGCCTAATCTGACCCAACAGTGAACACTCCTATGTGCTGCTGACTGAGGATCTACAAAACTGTTGCAACTGAGATTACCCCTTAGTTGAAGCCATTAAACAAGAACACTATGTGCAAAAAAAAACAAAAAAAAAAAACTTGGTTTTCTTCATTTTGTGATACAGTGGGATGGTTAGAACCCCTTTTTTGTGATGTGTCCCATTGTGGAGATTTCTCTGTACTTCCTGTCCTGACGATACAACAGGAAGTAACAGAAACATTATCTAAGTAAGGATAAATTCCCTATTACACAGTTGTCACGGGAATAGGCGTCCCTATTGGAAGACTTCTGTTCCATATTTGTTTCAGTGGTATCTGTAACATTTTGGATTTCCCGTCACTTTCTATTCTAGAGACAAAGTGTACTCAGGATAAATAGGGTGACTCTTACCAGATTTGAGACAGACAGCAATAAAAACCTTGACAGGGCTTTTAACCCCAGCCCTGTCCATCCGTTTTCGCTAGGGATATAGTCTAAAGCCTTGGTTCTCAACTGGTGGGTTGTGACCCAAAAGTGGGTCGCGACCCCATGTTCAGTGGGTCACCACGTGCCTTCCACTTTTCTAGGTGAGGAGGCTTCTCAGCCTCCCCCTAGCGCAGCACTGTCAGTTCTCGAGCCAAGCAGCCATTCAGAATATGGTGCCCAGCGTCGAGTGTCAGCTTGAAGTGTGATAGGCTGGGGCTATGGCCACGAGGGAGCTCAATCAATACAGGCATTGCTTACAGCTCCCTCGTGTCCTGTAGAGGCTCCTGGACCAGAGTAACGCACTGTACCACGCAATCACACCTACTACGCGCTCTGGTGTGGGAGGTATGTTGCATTGCCATGCATTGCCATTCAAATGCACCTCCCGCCCACAGTTCAATCGCTCGCACTGTAACGCGCCGTCCCGCAATGCAGTGCAGTCCATTGCAGTGAGACTTAATGACCAAGGACAAATGTGGGTCCTGAGGTTACACAGGTTGAGAACCACTGGTCTAAAGTGTATACAAGCCCCAACAAGAAGCTTCTCTTATTTGCTCCCTGGGTTTCATCCAAGGCCACATAAAGAGATAGAGAAAGAGACACTGTGGACATCTTTATATATAATAAAGTGACCTCACTAGGAGATTATATTAGTGTGTTATGTGGAACAGCAGCATAGTAAAAAGACACCGTTGTGACAATATCGAACAGCAAATTCTATCTGGATGGTGGGGGGGGGGAACCTTTCGTATCCTCATTTGATTTCACAGATGCTGTGTGTTGATGTCCCCCAAGCCCCTTATAAGAAGAGTCTGGCAGTAGTGTTTTGATGTTACACTGGATCAGTCTAACATTTTGGGACACAATGTGATGTAGCTGCCAAACTCCAAAAGATATGCACACACTGGCTACAAAGATACAAATCCTGCCTAATTGCCCCTTCTCCGCTATCACGGTCCTAAGTAGTTTGACTCTCTGTGCAATTCACTGCCTGTGTACCGTGTCCTCTCCTATATGCGTGAAACACTTACATGGACCTTTAAAAATATAGGAGCTACAAATGACGACCCCCCCGCCCACCGCCTCCACTCACAAAAACATCTTCCCCAGCACTCTGCATACCTTCCCTTCTGTACCTTCACACCCGCTTCTTCCATGCTCTTAACGCTGTACAACCCCTTCACCACCATTACACTGATGCACATGGCCTCCCCCGCAGCCACTATACTGACACACATTTATGTGTTAGGGCTATAGAACACCACCTCTTCATGTAGCAGGTGTTCTATAGTCTTCTCCTATGGCGACAACACTGCTCCTCTGCAGATACAGTACAGTGGGTGAGCATTGTCGCCCAAAGATGGCAAGTAAGGTATTGGCAGTAATACAGGGGGAGTGAAAAAAAATAATGCAGCTACTGGCAAGCTGCAATATATTACATTGGTGTTCTGGGGTTCACATACATTTTAAACATTCGACTGCTTTAAACTCCACTTCTTTTCCTTTGGATAAAGTGTGAAAGAGTTAAAGCTTCTGTAAGGTTTTCATTTTAAACTCCAATTTGTATTGCCACTTGTTTCTATTTTGGACATTTTCTTGCCTACAAAATAGGAAGTGAGGGAAAATATCCTCACTCTCTATCTGAAGGTGTCACATAGAACATGGAGTAAGGGGAAATCCCCCTCAGCAGAGACACAGCAGCAATTATATCTAACTTAGTACACATTTAAAGCAGAACTACACTCCACTCCCCTCCAGCAATGCAATGTCTGTAAGCTCCCTCGCCAGCTGCTTACATCTTTACCCTGCCTTCTTCCAGGTACAGGATCTTCAGCCACCCCGATTCGCTGCACCAGTATGATGCAACTCCTGCACTCCTGTGTGAGAGTTCTTTCACCTTGGCACATGCCAAAATTGTACACTGACCTGCGGATGCGTTCATTGCGCCCAGGCAGGCAAGAGTCTTTTATTGCAGAAGAGGCATAGCATGTCACTTCTACAATTAAAAACAAAACTGTTTGAAAAATGTTATTCATGGCATCAAGTTCCACTTTAATAACCTGCCAGGATTTTATTACAGTGACCCCAAGATAGGGATCTAACCTAACCTTCCATCCAAGGTAGAATTTTACCCTTACTTCCTGTCCAGCTAACAGAAGAAAGTGATCTCCCCTATAGGGACAGAGTAAGCATTTACCCACTTGCTGCCCAGAGTGATGTCTTACTATTTGCACACATGATATAATCTGAATTTGTGGCAAGAAAACAGCTTCAGACCCCCAAACAAATGATATATATGTCCTGAAAGCAGATGCCTTGTAGAATAAAAAAAACGCTAGTTGCAATTTTTTTATGTTGCACGGTATTTGCACAAATGTTTATCAAACCAGTATTTTTAGAATAGAATACACTTATGAAATTTAGTGCACACAGAAACAGAATACCCAATTTTTTTGTAAAACATAAAAAAGATGGGGTCACATCGGGTAAATTAATACCAAACATGTCAAGCCTTAAAATTGCAATCGCATGTGAAGCCTCAAAAAACTACAATACCCCAAATTTACCATAAGGGACACTTTAAAATCTTTTACCGCTCATCAGTTTAGTGGTAACAGTGACTGATGGCCCTAGAATTATTGCTCTCACTCAGACTTTTGCGGCGATATGTAACCTTATTGCTAATCACATAGGAGGATAACAAGCCCCCTATGTAATAGCAGATAGAGGTCCTCTTTATGGAGATATGAAAGTGGGTCTTCCAGACCCCTAATGTCACCTAGAGACCCCCAAAGAAGCAGAGATCTGCTTCCCCAGCTTCTTCTACTGGCTCGAAGAGCCGGAGAATGTCAACAGTGACACCGGAAATTATGCAATACACATCTCTTCTGGGTCCAGTGATTTTTGTTCAAAATCAGCTGTTTTTGGAATGGTTGTTCGATTTTCTAAGTTGGATGCAAAATTTTTCTTGAACGAAATTCTAATAGTGAATGCGGCTTTAATTTGAGATACAATTTCGGAATAAAAGGAGTATGTTAAAAATCAAACAAATATTTCGAACAGCATTATCAAATGTTCTGACATTTTTTTTATGAACCTTTGTTCAAAATTCTAACCGCGTATACACAGCTTTATCTCAGGGAAACAAGAGCCCCTGCTGGGAAAATCCATTTCAGAGTTCGTTCAGCAAGGAGGTGTCTGCGGGCATCTATAGACATAAGTTTCCAGTCACTTCAGCAGTATTGGGTGACTATCATCTCATGTCTATGGACAATGACATGCAGCTTAAAGTTGTAGCTGATCAGTGAAAGACACATTTTGATTAGATTCTTTGGGTTACTGCACTTTGCTCTTTCCCTTTCTGAATAGCCCCAAAAATCGTATGAAACAAGACAGCAGTTATTATCAGATAATAAAGCAGCTACTGTATTAGTGCAATAGCTTTTTCTACTTGAGAACGTCTAAACAGAAGATGATGCAATCAGAGGGAACTTTCACTAAATGTGGCATGTGTCACTGCCAAATATTTGAAAGCTAAAAGAGACAATGAAGAAAGATCACTTACTACTCCCCCCAGCCCTCATCACCATGACTCCTCTAGCACGGGGCTGTCAAACTTGCCAGTGCTGTAATGAGCAGGCAATAATGTGGCTTTGTTATCGAAATATATCAGTACAAAAAGGGGATTTAGAATGTACTGGCCACAGCACAGAATGACTGAAGGGCATACTGAGATAATTGATGGCAAGTTATCATTAATCCAGACTTTGATTGTGGAGGGGAATGAATACAGGTCATATAAACAAGCCATGCAGTGATTGGAGGTGGTCTGCACTCTATCAAGTACATTGAATGCAAAGTCTTATCCCTCTTATTAGTTTTTAATCAGTTTAATGCAAATCTGCAGTATTTATTCAATCTAAAATACAACACAAGTTTTTTTGAAAGGATAAAAATTAAAAGGTTTAAAAAAAAATTCACATAAAACAAAATGGTGAAATACATTTCTTGGATTCCATACATAGAATGATCCAGTTTCAAGATTTACCTTGTATAAGGCATAGGCTGTAAGTACATTGCCGCTCTGAGAATTCTTTAGAATACCCACTACGCTCTCAGGCAATCCAATCCACTCCAGGAATGGAATCACATTAATACCTCTGTTGGATGAAGATGAAATAAACATCAAATACATATACAATGCACATTTTTTTAAAATTGAAACATTATGGATTTTTAAAGATGTAAATAAGCGGATAGCCAAAGACAATTGAGATGACACGTTTTGTTTGTTGCCCCACTGTAAACAGCCATAACGGGCACTCAAAGCTGTCTATGTTTGCAAGGACTTTATGTCCCATATAAGGCCCCGTTCACATTGAGCGACTTATCGCGCGAGAATTCCCGCAATATAGCGGCTATTTACCGCGCGATATGGCGCTCCAATGCTTGCCAATATATTGCGCAAAATGCAAATCGCACGACAAACGTGCGATTTGCGAACCGCTCAATGTGAACGGGGCCTAAGATAGAGTACCGTGACGCATCAGCTTTGTACAAGTTTTATCCTCGTGGCATAAAAGTAAATTATGTTGTGCTGCAACATAACTCCACTCCCCCTCCATTACTGAAGAAAAAACAAGCAAACTTTCTCCACATTAGAATATCAATAAGTAGATTTCCACACTTACTCGGGAACAACGTAGATTTCAATTTTTAAAGTCATTGTGCGCCCTCTGCTGGATCTTCTAGTTCACTACAGTAGTATGTATTGCTGAACAAGTAACAGAACATCTACTGCATCAGAGTGGTACCTGTGATCCCAGATGTGCAGTGCTTCCATAGCAATTGTCAACACTGAATTACTGCGAAGGTAAAAAAACCTCCGGCTGAGCAGCCATGTTTGAGAATTTCTGCAAAAGCACTGCAATGGCCTGGTTTGTATTCTGAACAAAGCTAGAACTTGATCTTCAATTAAAAGGGATAGCGTCACTAAAAGCATAAGTGAAAGATGGCCTATCTGAGCACAGCCTGACATTCTAACCAGCCCTGCAATGCAGGTAAGGGCAAAATATTGTTCTTGGCAGTCATTCTATCTAAATTTCAGAGAGGCTGAATTCTACAAGTCTGGTATGCAGAACACAAAACACCACACTGTTTGCTCCTTATGTGGGTACGCAGTTCAGATACCTGATCGAAATCAGGGGTGGGGAACCTTCGGCCCTCCAGCTGTGGTGAAACTACAAATCCCATATTGCAAGGACTATTATTCTCACAGCCACGCCTCCCAGAGACAGATGCATCATGGGATTTGTAGATAAACCATAACTGGAGGGCAAGAGGTTTCCCACTCCGGATCTAAACAGTAACATTTTAAATAACTTACTTAAATATCATATCCCCCCCCAAAAAAACAAAACAAAACAGGCCATGGCTACTTTCCGTTTACTATGCAGTCAGTCCTTTCCTAGGTTACAGAACTGCTTTATAACAACTATTGTCTGAGCTTGATGTTCCTTCTATAGGGCTCGCCTGTGTGACTGTCTACGTACTTTCTGCACCCTGGCGTCTGAGAACACAATACAGGCACCGAACCATTCAGACTGCAATGTCATGTACTTCTGCTATCCCAATATGCCCAATTTGAAATGATAGTTGGTGTAGGGGACGATATAAAATTCATATAAATAAGGATGTAGAGAAAAGAATTACAAGTTGAAGTTTAGTTACATTTTGGAGGGGTATGCAGAACCAGGCACATCATCTCTAATAAAGTGTCTGATGTCCTACCAGCTGCTGGTTATGGTAGAAATCTTCCCTCCATCACTGGAGCCAGATACCCCTGATCTTCCGGCACTAAGAGTTAAGATCAGTGGCTGCGACTGTCAACCATCGGTGCCACTTGTTCTCCCTTTCCTCCTCTCTCACCAATTCACAGAACTCTTAGCACTCTTTCCCAGAATCCAAAGCATACTGTGAGTGAAAGGGGCAGCACGGTGACTTAGTGTTAGCACTTCTGCCTTGCAGCACTGGTGGTCCTGGTTCCAATCCTGGCTAGAACACTATCTGCAAGGAGTTTGTATGTTCTCCCTGTACTTGCGTGCGTTTCCTCCCACACTCCAAAGACATGCTGGAAGGTTAAATGGGGTTTCGTTAATGTTGGGGAGGGGGGCATATCTGTGCACATTCGGTAAATCACACTTATACATTTTCTTGAAATAAAGAGATTTTTTAAAATACTTTGCCAGTTTTGTTTGAAGAATATTGATTTGATCATATGGTTTCTCAGCTGATCTCTCATGTGTAGTCAAGTGGGAACCTGTTCTTCCATATAGGTTAATAGGCTCCTGTCTAAATTGGCACTTTGTATTAGGGATGCACCGATACTAGTATCGGTGCCGATACAGAGTATTTGGGTGAGTACTCGTACTCGCCCAAATGCTCCGATACCTAGCACGAGTACTTCCTGTATCAGGAAGCCGGGCTGCGCATCATTACACGCTGCCCGGTTTCCTGATTGGCCGGGAAACGGCTCCATGCTCTCTCATCACTTGTGATGAGAGAGCATGGAGCCGGTTTCCCGGCCAATCAGGAAGCCGGGTAGCGTGTAATGACGCTCTGCCTGGCTTCCCGATTGGTCAGGAAGCTAGCAAATCCGGGCGCCGTGTAATGACGCAGCGCCGGCATTCTGATTGGCCAGAAAGGCTCCCTCGTCATCTCATGAATCATAATATTAAGAAACTGACCTTAAATCATTAGTTTGTATTGCTTTAGAAAAAATGTGAGCTGTCCCTTTAAGAAAAAGTATCGATAATTGGTGTCGGCAAGTACTTGATCAAAAGTATCGGTACTCGTACTTGGTCGTAAAAAAGTGGTATCGGTGCATCCCTACTTTGTATGCATGTGAGATAGGGACCTTAGATTGTAAGCTCCTTGAGGGCAGGGACTGATGTGAATGTGCAACTACGTAAAGTGCTGCGTAAATTGTCAGCGCTATATAAATACATGAATAAAATAGAGGGGAATACGGTCATTCAGCTGCCGTCCTCCATTCACAGAATGCTTTGATAGGGAAGATTGAGCTTTACAGTCACAGCTGCTATTTTTAACCCTGCAGCGCTGGAAGTTCACTGCACCACTATACAGCAGGACATAGGACACTTCATTAAAGTGACACTAAACTCAGGAGTTAAATCTTAAAAGTGTACACTCATTTGTGTATCACTCAGCTGTAGATCCTCAAATCATCTCTGAATTGGTGTCCTTCCTTCTGAAGGGTGGCTACTTTTGTGCCCCATGGTCCCTGCGTGTGTTGTAAAGTAGTCACCGCTCCAAGCTCGCTCCAGTGATGGACTACAATCTGATGTTTCGTTTACTCGTTTGTATTGACATTGAAGTCCACCACAGGAGCGAGTTTGGAGCAGTGACTACTTTACAACACACACAGGGACCATGGGGAACAAAAAGTAGCCACCCTCCAGAAGGAAGGACAGTGTCAGGAGCTGTAGATCCTCAAATCATCTCTGAATTGGTGCTGACACTGTCCTTCTTTCTGGAGGGTGACTACTTTTGTTCCTCATGTGTTTTGTAAAGTAATCCATCACAGGAGTGAGCTCGGAGCGGTGACTACTTTATAGCACACACAGGGAGCATGGGGAAGAAAAGTAGCCACCCTCCAGAAGGAAGGACAGTGTCAGCACCAATTTAGAGATGATTTGATGATCTACAGCCGAGTGATACAGATAAATAAGATACATTATTTTAATAGTTAAAAAGGTACTTGAATGCATTTTAAAGATTTAAAAAGGAGAACTATGAGGTGAGTGAAAATCACTCATCCTCAGTTCGGGCCGATGTGTGACAATTAAACTGTCCCACGTTGGCTCAATAGATCAGCGAAGTGAGCGAACACATACCGTCGCTCGCTCATCTCCCTGCAGAGAGCGGTGACTGTCAGTCACAGCACCCCGCAGGGATTTCCCCCCTCCTCCAGCGCTGACTGGCGGAACGGACGGGGGAGAGGGTGGGTACAGCTGGCTCTGCCTCTAGATAGGCAGAGCCAGCTGTCACTCACCCCCCTGGGTGGATCGACAGTATTGTCGGGATCTGTCCCAGCTGCGCTGGTCTCAGTATACTGTAGCTCGCGATATACTGAGCTTTGGGTCACGGGAGGACGCTAGTATATGTCTTCCCGTGACCCTTAAGAAAAACACTTACCCCATAGTTCTGTTTTAACGCTTACGTTTAGTGTCACTTTAAAAGTAAGCTATGCTGAATACCCCCAAAAAATATAACTAAACTTTAATGCAAGTACATGTATATATGACCTGAAGCTAAACTCTGGCTGGGCGCATTAAAACACACACACACGGAGACAGAGGCTGGATTATTTATATAAAAGTATCAGGAACATTTCTTCTTAAAGCATGTTTGACACGGCACTGCACAGCCAACACAAACAGAAAAACAGTGACCAGACTAGTGATGAAAAAATGTCACTACACAACCCAAAATAAAACAAGATGACAAACATATACACAAGTATTACCATTGACATGTACACTAGATATGGAAAGAGTACGTATTTGATTGTTGAAGGGGGTTTCCCAAGTTCATTGAAAAGTGCTTATTGAGACATCCAACATCATTCACACATTCTGCTGTCTGGGTCAAATATTTGATACGTTAATAGCTGGGAACATATAATGCAAAGGAGTCCGCTAAGTTTAGATTGACATTTGGGATCAGTAGCTGCTAGAAAAGGGCAATAATGCCAGCTGGTGGAGGAGTAACTAAAACAAACACTTGGACTAGAATATGTGCTGATGTCAAGTGCTCAGCTTTCCAGCTGTAGGCTGGGTATGTGTTCGCAAGGTCTACAGCTGACGTGTGTTACACACAGGAAATTGGTTTCCAAAACAGAAACAGATGTTGGAACAAAACCATATAACTAACTTCAGGTGGACACACATCAGAAACACAATGTCATTTCTGCATATTCTATACAATCAAGCAGACCAATCAGATTTTAGTTATTTGGATCGTGCATGTTCAAAAATGAAAGCAAATAATGGAGTGCAGTGCAAAGCTAAAGTTTACTTAGAGAACTATGGTGTTAGGGCTTTTCCCCATAGTTCTCCTTAGGGTAACGGGAGGACACAAACTAGCGTCCTCCTGTCACCCTAAGCTCAGTATACTGCGAGCTACAGCTCATGGTATACTGAGACGCCGCACCTGGAGCGGATCCCGACATCGATGTCGAGATCCGCCCAGCTGCGTGAGTGACAGCTGGCTCTGCCTGTCTAGAGGCAGAGCCAGCTGTGACCGCCCCCTCCCCCGTCCGTTCCGCCAGTCAGCGCTGGAGGATCGGAGGGGGGAATACAGACCCTCCCCTGCCACGGCAGAGAGCCGTGACAGGATCGAGAGGTAAGCGAACGCCGATATGTGTTCCCTCACCTCCCGATCTACTGATGTGACAGTCTCATTGTCTCAGGTCGGCTAGAACTATGAGGCGAGTGAAAAGCACTCACCTCATAGTTCTCCTTTAAAGCCCAACTCCAGGGAAATAAAAGGTTTTCCCTTACAGCAAGGGTTAACTGTTCATTTAACCTTAGGGGACAGGAAATAACAGTTTTACTTACCTGATCCTCAATCTCGCCTGTTAGACTGGTCCCCTTCTCCCCTTTGCTCCGGAGGTCTAAGGGGTGATGATATGGTCAAGTCTTAGGCCTGCACAGTATGTGGGGGCGCCAAGGGAAAGTCCACAGCCAGGGGGTAGGGGGAGAAGTGGAGAGCATTGACTTCTGGATGAGTAGGGACCAGATAGGTAAAAGTTCTCACTTCCAGGTGTCAGAACAAGTGACCATCAGTACTGCAGGAAACAGCTCTAGTTTTTGCTACCTTAACACTTCATGCGCATTTCAAGGCAAACTAAAAACAAAAATATGCCTTCATCCCTAAAGCATAGAGTCGCTGCATACATACCTCAGCCAGCTCTGCTGTTCTTTGCTAAGAGTACCCTCACTGTAGGAGTGCTCGCTGTTTGCGAGTGAAATTCAAAATCAAGAGCACAGGGCTGCGCTACATGGCAGTAGGGGGTGTGGATAGTACACCCGCGCCAGCAGAGGGGAAGGAGCATTCGGCCAAAGGTAAGTATAGAGTGGGGTGGGTGGGGGTAATTCCATTTTCCCAAATTCATCCAAAAAAACAAACAAACAACTAGATTTCATATATTGCAGCTTACCAATCTTTAAGTGTGGTGGATGCATTCGGTTTCATTTTTCAGAATTTTTCCCTGTACTTCCAACTGGGTGATCCTGTGAACAACACATTTCCCGTCTCAGGGTGGCTACGCTCACTAACCCTACTGTGTTTGTAGTTGTCACACTAGGCTGGTCTCCCGATATAAACTAAGGATAATCTACTAATAATCACAAAGGGGCTACCAAGCCGGGGATCGGTCAGCTCTGCATCTGAAAGTGATCGGGTGGCTTGTTGTAGCCCCTTCCTTGCCATTGGTAGTCAGAGGGCTAAAGCTGCATGTGGGGCTATGGAACAGTACAATCCTTTCTGGATGGTGACCCATCTTTAAAATTAGCTTGACATGCATACTGCAGCAGCACATTAACCCTTTCACTGCCGACAACATATGCTGTACTTCACTGGCAGCAGGCCCCTGTAAACAGACTCCAGGAACCTGTTTACCTGTGTAAAGTGGACTGTTGGCTTTACACTGGAAGCAATTCTGGTGGCTGAACTGTCAGATCATTGTCAAGGGCCGGTGAAAAAGTCCTGTGCTTCCAGGACCATCATCTCAAGTGTCCACGGGGAAGTGCGAGAGAGACCAGCGAATCTCCAGTTGCTGATCTCCTTCCTGCTGAATGGAGCCGGTAGCAACACTGATTGCATTACTTCCAGCTTGTCAGCTGTCATTCCCCGGCTACAAAAGCCAGGGAAGAAGCTATTCAAGCATGATTGGTGGTCTAATAGACCCCTGTCACCCTAAAGAGAAACCTGTCATCACTAATCTACTATCACATGGGGGGGGGGGGGGGTTC